GCATCCTTAAAATCATGCGTTCCAGAAACATTTTTTCCTCTGTAATGAAAGGAGATATACATACACAATGTATATCAGAAACTTGAGACACAAAAAGAAGCTCCGAATCAGTATTAATTTCTACATGTCTAGATTTGAGGTCATCACTGTCTGACAGACCATGTTCTTGATTTCAGATCTTTGTGGAGTATGTCTCTGCTGCAGACTGTCAGAAAGCCATGCAAGCCCTCACCGGCCGCAAGTTTGCCAACAGAGTGGTGGTCACCAAATACTATGATCCAGATATGTATCACAGACATGAGTTTTAAAGCACAGACAAGTGTGTTGGGTGCGTCCTTTCTGTTTGTAAGCTTGGGTTCAGTCCGTTTCTTTACTTCTCTGAATCTTGTGAATGTGTCCTTAGAGACTAGACCTGGAAAAGGCATTTTATTATACTTAACAAACTGGACTGCAGTGTATGTTTCTTAGTACTGAATATCTCACTCTCACTTTTAGCCTAATACCCAAATGTTGAACTGATCTCTTTCTAAATTTTAAGTATTGCTGTTGTATATGTTGCATTTGCAGTAGAATGAATGTGACATGTATCTTACCTAAATCTAAACTAATACTGCCTGACAATGCCAGATTATCTGTCTATAAAGTATACGTTATATGACAAAAAACAACCATCAAATGTTTTCCTTCTGAGTACAAACATTTATTTGTTTTAGACCCAGGCTTTTGAAGAAATCATAATGTTTACTGTGTGACTATGATTAAAAAGGTTTTATATATTTATTTATTTATCTAAGGTAATATTTTTCCTATGTGTGTCATATATTAATGTACCTTAAACATATTCAGTGCTATTACCTGTGCTGCTTACATAGACCAAATGTTGACTTGTTTTGTCAAAAGTGAGAAGGTAGTTTGTTGCAAAAGTCATTTTGTAAATATGAACTGTTGATGTATAAAGATAGTAGGTATTTTAAATTGGACATGCACAGTGGAAGCTACTTGAATTAGAAAATATTCAAAAAAAAATTTAAATGCTGTGGTTGAAAAAACCCAACTCATCAAAAATGGTTGACCGTTTGTTAAACCTCTCCCCTGAGCATCGCTAGTCTAATCATAGCTTAGCAACTGTAACTAGGGCCTTGGTGAAACCAACATTCATCTTCAGCTCTTCAACCCTTCAGTGAACAGTCTTTGTCTAGTTTTATGACTCGCTCGCTGATTAGTGTTAACATACTATGTGGCAGGTTGTCATGGATGCTATCAGAGTTTTGGCTGTCCTGCTGCTTACTGAATGTGGGGATGTTAGGATTAGAGGTTCTAACAGAAGAAAATGTACATTAATGCATGTTTCCATCGTCAGTGAAGCAGAAGCTTCAGTGAACGTTTAAGTCACATGCTTCATGTAGCTATTGTACATGTCATGATTTAAATCAGTTTCCATTGTGCTTTGTCACATTTTGGTTTTATCAATACACCAATTTTCACACCTCAATCAAGCATAAAAGCACTTGTGCGCTATAAGATGTGCACAAAAACAGGTGGATGGAAACATGGCTAATGTTAGCTTAGTTAGCCACCTAGTTACAGCTGATACCATCTGCCAGTAAAAGTTATTTAGTGAGCAATATGAACAGTCACCATCTAGAAACAAGAAGGTGTTTTTGTCTGACACAGTTTTAAATTAAGGACCCATTAAATAGTTTAAAATATTATAATAAAATTTGATGACAAATCTCCCACCATTGTCATTTTAACTTAAATTGCGTCATTTGAGAACAGAAGGTTTAGCAACGTAGCAAGATTAAACCAAGGGGAAGGATGGGATGGCCATTCTTCCTAATGAAAGTTGTTTGCCTGGCGCATATACGCAAACAAACAAAAAACCTTCCAGGTTTGCTTCCATGTTGTGCAGCCCACTGCACATGTACATTAGTGTGTGTCCCTTGCTGCCCCTGGCCATGCGCTCTTACTCAGCCCATAGACTATTGGGTTGATGTCATGAAAATAAAACTGGTTTTTAGGCTCTGGGAAAGTTTTACAAAGATTAAAACACCATGGATTACAGTAAAAAGAGTGATGCGTGACTTTGCTTGCAGTTCAAGGTGTCTTGTTTTAGAGATGTACTTCTCTTTTATTGTTGTGGTCTATAATGCTTTGTGGGCCATTGGGGGGCGGGTTTGATGCAGTATTGCAAGTGGCCACTGGAAAAAAAATGGCTGGCAGTGCTGCATTCAGTTTTCAGTAATAGATCCATGGGCTTAATGTGTAGCAATAGTTATTATAGGGGGTGGGGCTTAATAAACCATCAAACCAGCAATAGTATACTTTGTTGTCAGCATAAGAATGACAAAATCAAATGTCTTCATGATCTCATAAAAAATGAGGATATGCACACTTTAGGTTTTGTTGATAACATTCTGATGTGCAAATGTGTTAAGCTTTATTTTGTGTGAAGAAACTTTATTAAATCAAAGTGTCAATTTATTATAACATATCCTGATTTAAAAGGTGCAGGCACAAGTATAGAATCCAAACAAATAGGAATTGGGAGGATAGTCTGGTTTGCCTATACTGCACACTAAACTTGCAGTATATTTCACAACAAACAAACTGTTTACGTAAGTGCAATGATAGGAATATATAAACAGCTGAATTTTATACATTTTTAAATGGCCAAACGTTTTTAAATATTTTAGTTTTTTCCCCCCCTGCCACTTCCATTGCCTTGAATAAATGCTTGCATCCACTGTGTGACCTGTCTCAGTAAAATTTATTTATTTAATTTTTTTCATTATTTGTGATAAAGACATTGCATCGGTTACTGTAACAGAAAATACTGATATTAATACCATGGAATAACAGATATTTAATTTGATTTTTTTTAACAATTGCAAGTATTTGCATATTAATTTTAGCAATTAAATCAATTGCATTTGTATATTAAACAACACCAGCCTGCACCGTATGGATTCCAAGAAACCGCTGTGCGGTGCCTTTGTGGAGGTTTTGTCCAATTCCATTTATAATATTGGTTGTCTTAATAAAATCTGCGGTTTCTCTCTTTCTTGCTTAGTGTATTTAGAACGTGATTTAGAAACGCGTGCCTTGCTGTGGTCACAGTGATGAACGGCATCATTGTGTTGATTTTGTACCAAATCAGTGTTCATGTCAGCATAAGGGTTATTAATTTCATTATGCGCAACGTTAAACAAAATATATATTAATAATAATAAGGTTTGTCTTAACGCTTTCTCTAGCGATCAGCACGCATATCAACACAGGCATCAAGGTAGACATATTGGTGCACACTCGTATCCGGACAAGATTTTCAAAATAAAGCTCTAATCATTATTGAGCTGCGTCTATAACCTTTTATAAAATAATGTTTTTTTCCCCTTTAATCCAGTCAGTCACCTCTACAAGAAATACACTTGCTACCAATCAATATGTATTCATTACTGTAAAAGTAATATTTGTCCCAAATAGCTAGTGGAAAAATGATTACTTCAGATAAACTAAAATAGTGTTTCTACCTTTTCAATCGGTATTAGTCACATTGTTTTGTAACTGTTATTACACAGTTATTGTTGGAAAGATTTAGCCAGATACTGTGTACTTGTGTTAATCGCAACGATGGTTTTATTTTGCAGGTTGTGACCGGTTGTTGTGTGGTGATCCCACATACAGTCAGCCGTTGGTCCGCGGCCATGACGACAGCAGCGAACGGATCGTCAGCTTGACAGATGTTCATTCAGCACGAGCCTCTTCATTCAATGCCGAGCCAAAGAGGAGCAGAGCGGTCTGTGTTTGGACTATTCACCGAGGCGGAGAGCTACACCAACTGAAACATGTCAGCGGAGAAGGCTACGAGTCCCTGTAACAAATTCCAAGCCAACATCTTTAATAAAAGTAAATGCCAAAACTGCTTCAAGTCCCGGGGGCTGCATCTGTTGAACGAGCATGACATGGAGCAGGTAACGTTAAAGTTCACCTTTGTTCGGTAAATGATTTAACAGTTCACGTCTTCAAAGAGCAGAGTTGTTTTACCATAAAATTACCTTTAGCCTGCTTCTTGTAACCCATACGCTATTAACTATTTGATTAGCGTGTTTTGAGGTTAGTTAACGTCATTTGACTGTATGTTTTTATGAGATTGCGTCTTTTTGAGTAAGCAGTCACTTCAGCCTTTAAGCCCGACAACATAGGTTCAGTACAAAACGTGAAACTTGAATTTAAAGTTCAATTTTAGCTACTCGCAGTATTCACTTATAGCCCGTGTAACGTCACTAATCCATCCATAAGGCTCCGCCGTAAACGGTTGGGTTATTTTCATTATGGCCGAATCTCAAGATGTTATTTCCTATTAATCGTTTAGTTTATAAAACCATCTGCAAATACCTTGTTTTTTTCTGAGCAGCTCAAAAATCAGATACTCAGTTTAGAATAGCTGTAAAACCTGAAACAGCAAATGTTTGACAAATTTGAAAAAAAAAAAAACAGATTTATTTGGTTATTAAAATTGTTACCAATTAATTTGATTAAGTGCTGGCTTGGAGGTTAACTGACTGCTGTTTTCTTTATTTACCAGAACTGAAATGACTGATCAAAAGTTAAAAAGTTACTTAAGAGGTTACTTAAACCCATTCATCATTACCAGTTCAGCTATTAATGAACCTTTTACCTATTAAAAAATATACCGATCAAAGGCAAAAACCACCGACTATAGGACAAACAATTGTTAGTTCTATGCTTAGTGATTTATGAAATAACTAAACATTTCAGCAGTAAGACAAGTAAGTTATTTACCTTGTTCTTGTGCTGTGGTTGACCCCCCTCTGAAAATGTTGTTCCTGCAGGTCTGTCATGCTGAGGTGATGTAAGGAGATCATCACAAGGGCTTCCTACATGCCTCACATTGTCAAAATATGCTATTACTCTTTGTGTCCCTGCCTGGTTTCACAGTACCCTGTAATTTCAGCACTGTTGCTTATTTGCCAACATTTAACATGGTATTACTGTGACACAGTCGATTGTCACGGAGGAAAGCAGTTTTTAATATGTTGTAAAGTGTTGCATATAGTGTGGATATTGCTTTGATAGAAAACTATTTAATTAATGGCATGTTAATGGCATTTCTTTTGCCTGTGTGTCTGCATTATCTTTTTTCCCCTTAGTTTTCACAAATGATAGAAAGAGAAATTCCCAGTCAGCTGGCAGAGCGGGAAATCATCCCGGTCCATTTGGGAATGTCAGGATTTATTTTCATTAGTCAACTCTCTAAGGACTTTTGGGTCATATTCAAAAAAATCCATAGACAGCCCACTCAAAAAAAGAAAACATTTGTTCTCCTGGACTAGGACTGGCAGTTAGCCAATCATTAAATCAATCAACGTCAAATTCATTGATCAGTTTAAATCTTTAGTTGAACAACTTGTTGAAAAATGAAAGGCCAGCTATTTTGATAATCAGCTAATTAAGTCAGTTTTCAAACAAACACTTTCACATGTTCTCTCAGTTCAGCTTCTCCAATCTGACAATTTTCTAATATTTTCTGTTTTATATCATTTTAAACTTTATATCTTCTGACCATTGGTCTAACAAGACGAGATCTGAAGACTTTTCTTTGCCTCTGTGAAACTGTGATGAACGTTTTTGCACTATTGACAGTTTAAGTGATGAGAATAATTGTTAGTTACAGATAATTTAAGTGACTTTCTACTTAAGACAAAGAAATGCAGCAAGCTGTCAGAATTGAGAAGTAGGAATTGGGGAATGCTTGGAATTTTTAATAAAAATCATAAATGTTTTGATGATTAATTGTTTCTCATTGGACTAATCAGTGACTTAGTAAGGTGATTGTAGCCTTTGTTCCATCACCTCTGTGGCCGAATGCTAACTTTCCAGTTTCCCTGTTGACCGACAGGCGAAACCCATCTATGGAGGCTGGCTCTGTTTGGCTCCTGAGGGGACAGATTTTGACAACCCGATGCAAAGGTCAAGGGTAGGACATGATGAAACTGACTTGAAATCCATATGTTTTCCACTTCTATTGTGATTTTTTCCTTTAGAAAAATGGTGCTTTAGTGATTTCGTTTCCTGTCTGTCAATGTCAGAAATGGCAGCGACGCTTCTTTATTCTGTATGAACACGGCAGCCTGAGCTTCGCCTTGGATGAACTGGTGAGAAACTGCTCAGATACTGACACCATAAGGGAGCACAAACATGAAATTGTAACAGAAACATACATAAGGTAGCAGTGTACAGTAAACCCTGTTATGCACAGTATATGCACTTGCATTTACAGAGGGTTGGGATCAAGCAGGCATCTTTAGGCCAGATGTCGTGTGCAGAACCACAGCAGATGATTTGGGCTTAGCCTGTCCTCTAATGCACGCACCCCCCTCTGTGATCCCCTCAAATCTCATTCCTTCATCTCTTTTATTCTCTACTTAACACCACAAACTAGTTTTCCTTTAACCTCTACAAGAGTAATTTAGATGGTCTGATTCTCCTCCAGCCCAGCACTTTGCCACAGGGAACGGTGAACATGAATCTGTGTACAGACATCACCGATGCTGAGCACAGGACAGGCCAGAGAAACGCACTCTGCATCGCCACACCAGAGCAGGAAATATTTATCCGTGATGACAATAAAGAGATTATTAATGGGTCAGTATAAAACTAAAGCAGACTTGCAGGAGCAAGAAATAGTAAGGTTTCCCTCATCCAGCATATGTAATATTGTGTTTCTTCACCAGGTGGAGTGAACAACTCGGAGTCTATTTACGGGCTAACAAGCAAAACCAGAAGAAAAAACGCAAAGTGGAACCTGTGGCCACCCTGGTAGCAAAGCAAATGTCCACACAGTGCTTAATACACATTATAGAACACATTGTGTTTGTTCCGCCAGCTGTGAGGAACAGAGGAAAGGGATATCAGTTGCTTTGTCCAACACTTTGATCTGATACAAGATCACCCAAATTTTCCTGATTTCCAAGAAATTCAAAATATATTGTATATTCAAGGATGAATATTTTTGGTCACTCTGAGTTTTTTCTCGGGGCATTAGTGACCAAAATGAGGTTACTGTTGCAAACTTTACTTCATATTAAGTAATGTTGTCCTTTCATACTGAATTATCTCTTTGTTAGGAGCCCAGTCCAGCAAAGATGGCTGTGACTGATACAAGTTTTCCATCACCGAAGAGCTCTGCAGTGTCCAGCCAGTGGCAGGAGCTCCAGAGACCGGATGTAACCCCAGTTTGGGCTGTCAAAGATCCCCAGGGCCCAGAGCAGACCCCTTCAGGTGCTGCAGATGCAAAACACACACATCAGCCACTTCCTGTCCTCTCACAGTGTCTTAACATCCTGCAGATGTTCACACACTTACAGCTTTTTATTTATACATCTCATTTAACCCTTAACCAGGCAGGCATGTTGACTGATTTGTATTCATGGGAACGAGCTGGAGGAGTTTCTGTTTAAGCAGGAAGTAACACAGACTGAAACACACTGTGAGATGTATAGAAAAACATGAGGCATCATAAACCCAAAATTAATTCCATCCAATTCCTCTTAAACAAGTGGTGACAGGCTTGATGATCAGTACTGGGCAGGTATTCTGTCTTAGCAGAGCTTTGTTCTGTGACACAGTGGACACCAGTACCCATCTGGCATCTAACTTACTGCAGGGTCTGGGGAACTCCTTTAATAAAGGTATGGATTAACTCCAGCTGACTGTGCCTACAGGCTGCTTCACTGCAGTATGGCTGTCTAATGAATGATGCTCTTTCATTACTCTTGTGCATACAAGATCACCCAGTCATTGAATTCCTAGACCATCATTGAATTCTGTAAAGTGTTTTCCAGACAGTACACAGTCATTTTGTATGAGTTGTGTTAGAAAAGCAGGCAATATATGGGAAATGTATTTTCTTGATCATTTCAGACATTTTCTGCATTTGATGATGTTTTAACAGCATTACAGCTTGTGATTATTTTTATTATAATTTTTTCTGCTGTTATTTTTTTAACTGATTAATAAACCTTTTAGTCTATAAAACACTGAAACATTTTCAGAACTGACTCAAAGGTGACGTCTTCAAATGTCATTTTGGTCAACCAATTGTCCTCAAATCCCCAGAATCCCCAAGAATTCACCTCACACACTGAAACTTGCAAGTGTTTGGCATTTTGTCCACTTTTGCTGTTGTTCATCTAATCAATCAACTGCTCACACTTTTAAACAAGCAACAGAAACATTTAGTCATATGTTTAGGTTAGGAATCAACTCTGATTTATATATGGAAACTTATGAAAAACTACTTTTGAGAAGCATTTTAACTTAAGTACATTAAGATTACTCTTAAAGCTACACTTCATATTTTAAAATTAACAATGGATTAAATAATTGTGTGATGTGAAAGGTGCCACTTCCACAGAGAATGATCAATTCTTCAATTTGCACGGGGTGTTTTAGCATCTTTCAGCTTTTGGTTTTCCAGCCCGCAACTTTATTGTTTTGTTCACTTTCACGCTTTCCGGTACAATTTTGTGACCACAGCAACCAGCTGTTTTCAGAGAAGAAGCTTTAAAGTGTAAACTGTGCACTAACTGCTCAGCACTGAACAGACATGGATACAGTAGAGAATAGCTGATGAACATAGTGGAATGCTCAGCAAGCTGAGGAGGCAGATATTTCCCTCAAAGAGTTGGTAGAGTCCAACAACAGAGCTAAAAGGGAATAAATATTGGACTTTCATTTAACTGGTGATCACAAACACGACTCCAACTGAATGACTGTGTTGCCCCGTAACTGCTGTACAGAAAGTGTGAACGTGGACATCATCTTAAAATGTAATAGTCATAATACTGCCCCTAACTGTCCAAAAAGTCTGTTATTGTGAGTATAAGTTTTTGTTTAAAAATGCACATGAGACACAACACAACACAACAGTGTTGCACAAAAATCACTTTTAATGCGCTCCTCAGAATTCATTACTAATTTGGTTAGTTTGTAACTAACTAAGGTAATTTCACAATTTATTCAGTGCTGTCAGTCTGTTTTCTATATATCTCTGGTGTGTAGAGTGTGGTTTTGTTGATGCTACTGTAGCAACGTTTGAGTAATAATAATATATATGGGATTTCCCTCATTAAACTAGAAGTGTAGGTAGGATTTTTATAACAAAGACTGACCAGGGCTTTTCATGTCTGTATTTGGGAAAACAGAACTTGTTTAACACAGCATATTAGTTTTTGATAGGACTATGTTTACTATATCGTTCGGTTTCTTCTTTACATTCAGAAAAAGTCAAGAAGATTACAATAAGTATAGTGACATAGTCCCATTGAAATGATAAAAGTAACACCTGCACTCCACAAAATGTATTCAAAGAGACCAACATTTTAGTCGGATCATCATAAAAATAGATACCACTACTATACTCACATATATATATAGTATAAAAATACACACCGGTAGGCTGACAGGTTATAATAATAACCTAAGGCTAAGCAGTTAATAACTCAGGAAGGTACATCTCAAAGAGCAGAAAGGCAATACATCAAAACATATCAACTACGTCACATATCAAGGTCTGAGATATACTGTATGGTAAATGAGTAGTTGGTTCTCATAGTCAACAAGATGGATGTTGAAGAAATGGACAGGCATAAAGACCTGAGAAGCTTTGACAAAGTCTAAATATTTACAGCCCGATGACTGGGCTGCAGCATCTCCAAAACAGTAAGGCCTGTAGGGTCAAACCAGCCGAAACGCAAACCAATGATAAAGCACTGGGGAATAAGCTGAACGACAACAGGTCAGAGACCCTGCCTTGGAACAGCACATTAGGTAGGAGTGGTCATAATGTTCTCAGTGCATCTCAGAGAGGATACTGGATGATGTGCCTCTCTGAAATGCTACTTCAGACACAACTCAGTGCACTTAAACCAAACTGTGTTAGCTTGTCCTCCTCTACTACAACTCCAGTCTGAAGCCATTTTGTGTTACTTTCTTTATCCAGGCAACGCGTCTGCCTACCTGTGCTCGGTCTCCAGGGACTCTTTGAGCATTGACAGCTTTGGTAGCCCAGTCTTGGACTTGGTAGGATATGGAAACACCGACCCTGGCAGTAACAACCAGCTGGCTGAGTCTAATAACATCCATACATCAACAAACAACAAGAACCAGAGCCACGACAGAAGGTTAGAAATAAGCTGGTGGAGTACAAGTAATTTCCAGTCCGATTTAAAGTTGATATGTGTAAATAGCTCTTCTTTAGATTTTGCTTGGGAATAATTGGCTGTTTTGTTTTGCGTATGTATGTTTGCATTTAATCTGTAGGTAATGCTTCAGCCATGGCTTGGCAGAGGGAATTGGGTAAATGTGTAAGCAATTAACACAAAGACATCCGATGCCTTTCCTCTTCCCCCTAATATAAAGCTGAAAAGCCATGACACAGCACCAGATGAAAGGCTAACACTCTACCCCTCTGTTAGAGATCCAACTTCTACATTTTTAAACATTTTTAAATTTAGCTTAGAGAAACCCTCCCAGTTTGGGCCCCAGTCGCATGTAACCTGGTCATGTGTGGAGAACACATCTCAGTTCTTTACTCATTGCCTTTTTGGGAAACAAAAACAAAATACTTTTCTCCCCTCCAAATAAGGCCAGAAATTCCAAAACGCTGGTGTAATTAGATATCTGTGGCATTGTTTCTCAGGACCTTAGTGCTGACTGTCTGCCTGTCAGAGAACGTACACTTCAGCTTAAAGCTCAGTTTGAGGGTACAGGTTCGGGTTCAGAAAAGACAACAAGACAGAGTTATCTTTTTTATTTTATGTTTCTAAACCTGTGTTAATTCCCCTGAAAACAGGGTTTAAAAAGTTAGTATGTCAAAGTTTTGGTTTTGCTTTGTCAGGTAGTTATGGCTTGTTTGTTTTTTATTTGGTGTATTACTATTAACCTGCCTGGGAAGTGCAGAATATCACACATGGGTTTTCCCAGCTAAATGCTGTACAGTAGTAAATTAAGTTATGTTTACATGTGTGGTGAAGAAAACAAAAAAGCATCTGTTTTTATTATTCAGTTATGCTGCTGCGTTGTTTGTTTTCAGCAAAGAAGTAGAGTATGGATCGGGCCGTGTATTTCTGTCTGAGCCTGACCTTTCCCCAAGAGTGCGGCATCTGAACCTGACCTGGACCCAAAACATGATTTCTAAATTTATGTCAGAACCGGGTATCCACACTCTACAAAAATCAATAAGAGGAGTGTGAGCTAACATGATTATTTTGTAGTTGATCTTACTAATGCTGGTATCGATACTAAAAACAATGCTTATATCATTAATATTGTTGATTAATTTCTCCCTAATATTGACCATTAACTTTCAAAGATGAATTTTTTGGCAGTTAACCAGTCAGTTTACAGTTCAAATGCATTAAATAGTCTTTCCATTTTGTAATACCTGTATGAAGGTTAAAAAAAATACATCCACAAAGCTGTAATGTTGGCTAAATATAGCAAGCTTAAATAAAAACATTTAAACCCCACAAACTAATTAACAAAATTCACAAAGCCCATTCAGTTAAAATAATATGAAGGCAATGTGTTTCTGCCACTTGTGGCATTAGCTTCCTATCAGCACATACTGCACTCCTGCCTTAAAAGATATTCACTGATCCTGAGCCCAACTTTTAACTGTCATCATTGCTTTTCATCATTTGAGAGTTGTGTCTAGATTATATCAGGTTAGTTTGGGCTGTTTGACCTGTTTAACAGAAGCTCCCTTTTTACACAAAACACCTTTGGCAGCAGTGACAGGGATGTCAGTTCTTATTTAGTCTGGGCTGCACTGAGTGTCCTGTGGGCTCTTTCCTGCCGCACAGGTGCTGTTTGGCATCCATTATCAAGCTGTCATTCTCAGTGTCATGCTGGTGGGAGTGATGCCAGAACCCACCTGTGTGTTAGTGGGGTCAGGGAAGCCACACACATACACAGTATTTGGCCAAGGTGAAGTATTTCCCTAATTATTTGTTCTTGTTTTCCAGCAATGACAGCACAGCAGAGAGGATTCTGGGATTGGTGGCCACCAAGAAAGAGCAGGGAGGGGGAACAGCCATTTCAAGGAAGGGCAGGAGTGAAGCTCGTACCAACAAGCGAGAGGTAGCTACACCTAGCACGTCAGTTTGTGCAGTATATCTTAGGGGTTTCCTGATAGACTAGTGGTTAGGGTGTAGTGCTCTCAGCACCGCGACCCGGGTTCGAGTCAGGGTTGCGTCAGGAAGAACATTCCACGTGAAACATGTGCCGCATGTCAACATGCAAATCATCAGTGTGATGATTTGCTGTGGCGATCCCTAACGGGAAAAAGCTGGAAGTGACATTCATCTTAGATGCTACTCAGTCTGTCCATTCAATGTCTGACAGCCTGCCACTATGCATCATCCTAACTGCTCTTCAGACCCTTAATGTTTCTTATTTTGGTATAAAATGTGACAAACAAATCAATTGCATTGTCAGCCCTAGCATGTTCCATCTTAGATTATCTACAAAATTAAAATTATTCTTGTCTGTTAAAGATTTGGAGATCATAGTTGATGCTTTTATTTCCTCTTACCTTGACTATTGCAACTTTCTCACTGTACATTAGGAATCTGTCAGGCAGCCTTATCACACCTGGAGTGATTTTACTTGCAGCAGTCAAGACTCTTTACCGTTACCAAGATGAGATCTCCCTATAGATGGCCTCTCTTCACTGGTTACAAAGTATAGAATTGATTTTTAAGATTATTGTATGGCCTGGCACCACAACTCCTCCAACTCCCCTTGTTCTTCCTTCAGACCCCTCATATCCCTTGTCCAGCAACAGCGCTCTTTTCCATGCCCAGTTAAATTTAATAGTGACTGTCAGTACTAGATCTCACCCTTACACTGATATATTTGTAATCCATCTTAAGACCCATGTCCAAGACCCTATTAATAGTCATCATGAAGACATGATTTGTCACACTGCTTTTTTCATCTCCCTGGTCAACATCCTTTTTAAATGTGCTATATAAATAAACTGACTTGACTTGGTTTAAAAATATACTGGCTTAACTGTAGTATCAGCACTGAAAATATGACATTATTTGTATTTTTAATGGTGACTACAGAAAAGATATAGCATGCTGGAACTTGCAAAATAAAACATCACGTTACTGTGGTGATTTAACAGTAGCATGAACAGTATTAGAAACACCGGAGGTATTCTGGATACAGACTTGGATCATTCTGGTGCCAAAGTACTAAATGTCTATTTGAAACTACTGCCAATAGCCTGTTGGCTCATAATTACTGCACAGACATGAGAGACAGACACTGATATTGTGATCTACAGTAACTTTCAGCAAGTAAATATTAAGCCTGTTTCCTGAAATGTCAAGCTATTGCTGTAATGTTTTATCCATAATATTTTACCAATAATTAGGTATTAGTAAATCACCATCATCCACTTATGATACATATAATAATCCAGTTTGCACACATGCTATGTGGATTGATCAGTACTGTTGTTGTTGTTGTTGTTGTCTATTGAAGGAGTCGGTCCCTTCAGTTCGAGCTAATCTGTCTTTGACACTTTTACATATCACACTCAAGGAGGCATGAATATGTATTAGTTTTATTTGTATTGTGAGTGTGGGTTTTATTTTGAAAACTTTCAGAAGCTTTTTCACCTTGAGGCGATTACCTTTCTGGGTTCAACTTACTTGTTGTTTGACGCTTTTTACCACATCTCATGGCCTTCCTCAGCAACTTTATCCACTAAGGAAGGTGATGAGATTTGGAAACAACAAGTAAATTGGATCCTGTGTTTGTTTCCTGCCCAAGTGCTGTTTCCAAGATCAAAATAGAACCTTCAACCTCAATGTTTTATATCATTTTTGGCATATATGTGGTCAGCTCTAAAATGATTTAATATGAGACCAATCTTTCATCTTCCACCACACAAGTAAAGCACCATGCTGGCTTTTTATTAACATTTTAGTTTCAAAACAGGGCAAGCAGAAAATAAACAGAAAGAGGTGACTGATCTCAGCATGCTTGATTTCATGTAGTTGCTAATGCTCAGAGACCTGCGATGGTTTGTGGAAATACCCGACAATGTTGTTCAAAAAGAAACCCATCTATTTTAAATCAGGACGCCGTAACTTTTTAATAAGAACAAGATGAAGAAAATAGAATTTTGGGGCTTCAACATAAAACAATTCAAAGCCTATTGACTGAATGTGGTTATTTGCTACCACATGAAAGTAATAAATAGGTAATGGTGATTTATCTCAATGTGGGTTCATCATAATTAAAATCAGTCACTGTATCCAGTTGTATTCAAGCTGTACTGGGATGGGCTGTGGGCTGGACTGGTTTGAATGTGACTCACTCAACCAGGTTATGGGAAAAGATGTCACTTTAACAATGAAGCTCTGATGGGATCAGACACTGTGAATCGCTAGACTCCTCTTAGGTTCTACTTTGAGACTGTTTTCATAAGTCAGTCACTGTGTAAATTCAGTCCATGAGCATTGAAAAGCAGATGAGAGTTTGTTATGAAACACGTGGAGGACTCAGTCCTGCCATGTCGAGGCATGTGTTTCTTCCAGGATATGTGAGTGGGTGCATGTGTCAGCAGGTGGGAAAGAGGTGGTGATTCATTTAGAGGTGCATTTTGTTTGTGAACTGAACTGGTTTCAGTGCCCCGAAGGCTTTCACTCTGCCTCCTGTTGTGTGTTGTAATCTGGGCATTCCTTTTTTTTTCAGGGATTCCTCTGAACCAGATACACTGTAGCGTGTGAGCCACCACTCTTAAGGACTGTCAGGGAGTCTGTGCAGAATCATGTGTTGTTTAAAGATGAAAAATAGTGCCTCTATTTGCAGCACCTTTCCAAGTGCACATCTGTGTGTGAGTGACAGTCACTGTATGTTGTCAGGCTACACCATACTGGTTAAAGACATAAGTAAACCTTGAAGTGCCTAGCTGTTTGGGACATAACACAAGTGCTAATGTGAATCATAAACAGGCCAGAGGGCATTATATAAAGCAAGATTACAAGTTGAGTCAGGCTTATTTTCAACAATTTTGAGTTCATAAAGGTTATTTAAATAAGTCAGACAAATGTTACCATGAAAACTGATACCTCTACACTACTCTGGTCCTGAACTGTGTTTGATAAAGGTAACGCTAAATAGTAGAGATTATTGTTTAAAGTTAAAGTCAGAGTGAGTCTGACAAGCTGGACTGTGACTGAATTGTTTAGAAAGATAATTCAGAACTGATTTAAGTACGGTTCCAAGACAGAAAGCACTAATCACATCAGTTCTCTGTGAAGACAGTGGATATGTTTTCAGAAGCAGATACTGTTCCTGATATTTGGGCGTTTCAAAAAAAGATATTTTGTCCAATAACTTTACCCAACACAAACAATAGTCTTGTTATGGATTACTTAGATTGTTTGTAGCTGCTTTTTATTTTGACCAAGATAATTCATATTGAGAAAATCTACTTGTCAAGGTATGTTTACAATTTGTTTCTGTGGTCAGAAAGCCAGTTATTGCAGGTGAACGGTATATCAAGGATAACACACCGCTGTGTTTGAAAGCTAAAGCACGAGTTCGTCCACATATCTCAGCCAGAGATCAAAATAAAGCTGTATTAAAAGCAGTCCATAGTAAGAGTGTGAAGGGTAAATGCAAGACCAGACTAATGTTATGAAGACAAGTTATGCACAAGTGAAGACAAGCAGAGGAGTTCAGCAGTTCACACCAATCTGTACAATATGCCAGCAGTTTTTTTTGTGTTTTTTTTTTTTTGTACTTGCTTAAGGCAAAAACATTTATACGTGGTGTTTTTCTAAATGTATAACAACTGTGGGTTGCTTTTGTTTTGTTTGTCCACTTGTGTGTAATGATTATGTGTGTATTAGGTATCAGTGATTGTCAGAGACCGGGATCCAACTTGGTACCATGAGTGCAGTGGGGACATATCTGATGGTACATCTTGTTATATAGTATCTTGTTACACTATGACAGGGATCTTGTGAAAACAACAAATGTCTCTCCTAATAATAAGAAACAGAAAAAAAGTAAGTTTTGTCATATTGGCAGCAATATGCTGTAGCAGCAGATGGCACAGTGGTTAGCGTTGTTGCCTCAGAGCGAGAAGGTTCCCGGGCCGACCTGGTGCTTTTCTGTGCGGAGTTTACATGTTCTCCCTGTGCCTGCGTGGGTTCCCAGTCCAAAGACATGCAGCTTAGGTTGATTGGCAACACTAAATTGCCTGTAGGGCTCTGTGGCTGCAACATTGCAGTTTTGCCTCAACATTTTTGTTTTCTTCACTGTTAAGTGATATAAGCAATGTTTTATGTATCCAGCCTGTGTTTAACAGTCATGAAATTAACCAGGCTTGGTCTTAGTCTGCTCACATCAGCTCTGTTTATAATCCTGGCTCGGTTTGTTGGGATCATTCAAGGCAGACTTTTCACAATAAATGCTTCTTTTCTGAGTCACCTTCATGAAACACCTCTCAGTAGCCAAAGCTGATGTACAAAACATTGTAGAAGTATGGTCAGGGCAGCACAACACAGCTGGTCATCACTGTGGCTGCTGTTAAGCTTTGATTAAACACAGACTCATTCCAGAGAATTTGCATTTTAGATTCACCAGCGGTTCATTTTATCATGTGATTATTTATCTGTCTTGGCGTGTGTTTGTTTTGCTAGCCAAGGTCAGAAGAGTCTGTCTAGAGTTCATTCAGGCCTCAGAGCTGAGATTCCCAAGACAACCTCCTGTTCTCTTCTTCCTCCCCCTACTCCCCCTCAGCTTTGTGGGGCTTCTTCACTAAACAGAGGAGAGGCCCTGTGTACAGTGGTCAGCAATTGTTTGGGAAGAAAAAATGTTCAGTTCACGCTGCGGCCAGAGCACTGTGTTCCTCTGTGTTCTGTGTCCTTGGATAGTTTTCAATATAAATGCCAGACAAAAAACACAAAGAATGTTCTGTAACCATTAAAGTGCTCGGTTTTTCCCTTTAATAGCGGTTATATAAGAGAGAAGAATGAATCTTTTCAATAGCAGCGGATCAAGTAAACAAAAAACCTTGTTTCATTTAATGCTGTGTAATCTGGACTTGAAAGAAACTCTGATACGTGTTTAAAGCAGCTCTATTAGTCAGCATGAAACCCGAACATTAGGAGCACACAGGAATCTCACTCAGTGTTTTTGGAGGTCTAGCGGCATTTTTAAATGTAAGACAAAAAGCTGCAGAGTATCAGCGATTGTTGCCTCTTAAACCTTTTCATGCATTCCATAGCCAAATCCAGACATCCATGTGCATTTCGGTGGGGATGTGAGTTAAACAGGCAGTGGAGAAAAGCCTGCTGGGTTCCCTGCGGTGCTCTACAGCAGGCCTAATCCTCACAGCTGACATCTCTGCCAAGGATCCAGTCTATCAGTTACTGTCTTTGAAGGAATGCAGGCAGCGCGTACAAGCTGCCACCGAGAAAAACACTGAGAAAGCACGTCACATCTTTGCATCAGTAAAAACCAGCTTCAGATAAAACCAAATGTTAGTGATAAAAGGAACTGTCATAATTTCAGTATTTTCATAGTCATTTACCTTCCACAGAAACTGCAGTCGTGTGGAGACGTAGCCCAGCTCAGCGCTCCCCCTCCTCTGAGAAGAGCCAGATCTCTGGACCGCAGGGCATCAGACACCATCATGACGGTAAGTAATTACTAGTACTTTTTTCTAAAATACTAATCATTTGTGTCTAAAGATCTGGCATCATCATACACTTGCTCTCCAAATGGTAGTGACAAAAAACCCTTTCAAATACAGATAGAAAGTATAGAAGACTCAATTGCTCCTCCTAGAGGCCAAACAACTCCTTACACCCCATGTGAACACTTAATAGCCAGGTTCTACTATATTACTCATTACAAATGTTATATGATAAACACATAAAAATAATACCAGCACTACTTTCC